TAGGTTTAATACTTTAAATAAAATCGTGTGATTGAACACGTTAGTTTCAACTTATGCTATGGTCTATGTCCATGGTGATATAATAAAATCGTGAAAATTAACGCACGGTTCCTAATTTATCAACAATATTTTTCTATGATTATGAAATTAATGTTCCGCTGATAACACAAAAAATACACAAATGCTAATAACTATAGTATACGTAGATGAAATCTTCTATTTATAAGATGGTAATCAGAGTTCGAATCGAGTGACCAGTGACAATAATTTTTACTGTGTCTGGACACAAAATAGAAGTCTGGATTCCGAAATATTTATTTTAATTTTATTTTATTTGGAACAAAACAATTTTATTTGTTTAATTTGGGTTGTCTGTTGTATCTGGGCTGTGTTGTTTTTTATTTGTGTAAAGAGGAATTTGATACGTCCATCAAACTTCAGACGGTTTTCTGAGAAATCTACTCTTTGGTGAGTCGTTTTGTAACTACCCACTATTGTCGGAGGTTGAATTAAAGCAATTATAAAGGTGCATTATACTACAAGTGTGCTAAGTTGGTTATTTAGGTTCTAGGTGTTGCTGTAATAGCACAATAAAGCCGAGAGTGTAATGACCCATACATTCACAATTTTTTTTAGATAATATTTTTGTGTCACTTTTTCTGATAAACTCAAATTATGTAACAATTTTGGCAATAAAGTTTATTTATTTATTATTTATTCTAAATAATTGACTTGACGGCTTCGCCTGCGTGAAATTTAGATTGCTATAACTTATATGTTATTCTAATGTATAAACAATAAAACTGTAAAGTTTTATCGAAATCCGTTCAGTAGTTTTTGCGTCAAAGAGTAACAAACATACATCGGTACAAACTTTCGCATTTATAATAAGTATTAGTAGGATCTATGATCCCTACTAACAATAAAAGTTAAGCTACCCTTCTCTACTATTTTACCCACCTTCGCCAGTTAAAAGAAAGGGTTTATGATTTTAGCAGTTTAAACAATGTTTTTCAACAATTTACGAGTCATTACAATCTTATTTTTTAACCTACTTCAACAAAATGAGGAGGGTCTCAATTCTGACGGTTTTTTATTAAACATTCATAGTAAAACTTTTCGTATTTTTTAGACGGGAGCTAATATTATACTTGAATGGCCATATCATGGAAGCCATACAAATTCTCAATATTTTAAAACTCATCACGCGAAAATATTTAGGCCAGCATTTTTTGGGTTTCATAAGTTTGATTAAAACTTTTTCATATCTTTCCGGTAGCGCCAGCGTTATTAGAAAATAAAATAGCATGTAATAATAAAATTGGGAGAATTAATAAATTTTCATAATTATACACGTCCCAATATTTTTTTTACTTACATTGAACAATGGCGTCATTTCTGAAAAACAATTGCGCGAAACTTGGTCACTATTGACGCCTCTTTTTTCAATAATTTTAAATAGGTAGTAGGTTTTTGTAATAGATTGCCCTTTTTCATGAAAGTAAATTAATCGAATCTGATAACGTACAATAGAACAGAAATATCTTTTATTTTATTATTTTAGTAACAACCCATCTTCAACAATCAGAACCTATCTGGAAATCGAAGCCATAAATTAATTCTGTTCCTTACAATTTCAGTATTTTAACCAAGAGTCATTATATTTTGAAAAAACTTCAGTAAGATTAAAACGGGATTCTAAACTAACGGAAACTAAAAGTTTTACCATAAGTTGTAGGCGGGTCTTATTAATAGTGGAATAATTCAAAAAAGGCGTTAAATTCATTGATATTGTTAGTACTATCTAATCCACTAATCTTTAATTTAGTATCAGAACTAATTTCACCAATAAATTTATAGGTAGTTCGTAAATAAAGATAAGTTTGCCAATAACGTCCTACGCCATTTGTTATTTTTGTTTTATACGCTCGAACAGCGGAAAGCAGAGAGCTTAGTGTAGAGCGAAGTAAAAAATGCTCAAAACTTCTTAAATGCTAAGTGCCACTTTATTAAATAATTCATGAATTATATTAACATTGTATAATCCTGCTCCCCAATCCGTCTGGCCAGTGTGGGGAATGTAGGCTAAATTGGAGAATCTTCCAGCGACTTGGCCCACTTTTAGCTTAGCCAACTGAAATCTTTAACTATATCTATCTATATAAATAAAAATGAATTGATGTTCGTTAGTCTGATTAAAACTCGAGAGCGGCTGGGCCGATTGAGCTGATTTTGGTTTTAAAATGTTTATCGTAGTCCAGGGTAGGTCTAAACGGTGAGCAAATACGCGCGCGATGTTTTTTTTCTGTGACAGACAAAATTCCACGCGGGCGAAGCCGCGGGCGGAAAGCTAGTTTTAAATATTTTTTCATTCAACAACTGGGTCCACTAAGATTCTAGAGTAATTTTTTGTTAATTCAATGTTTAATTGAATGATCAAACGAACTTACCAAGTGAAGTTCGATCTAAATTATCCTGTTTTCGCCGAAGAGATTTAAGTTACCATGTAGTACCCCTGTACGACAACCCAATCCGCACACAATATTCAGCGTAGTAGTATTAAAAAACAAAAGAGCGGGCAACCCCACCCCTACCACGCTGTGGGCTCGGTGTCCGAGCGGTCTCATTATATTTAGAGAAGAGATGACATTGACGTTTACCTCCAGGGAAGAAGATATAGAAATCTTCGGGTTGGGAGGGACCTTAAATCTCTTCGGCGAAAACAGGATAATTTAGATCGAACTTCACTTGGTAAGTTCGTTTGATCATTCAACTTCCCCCTCCCCCCTTCCCCCCTCTACTAGCGCAGACGTCCCCTCCACGGTGCACCAGACTTTGGTCTGTCCGCTTTGCATCTCAATTTTATGACACTGCGCATGGTGAACTGTATAGAGCGGTTCTTACCTCTCGAAGGTTTAAGAATTTGAAAATAAATACTTTGGACTAGTACAAAGGTTACCAGAATCCTTGATAATAAATGTAGGTAGGTACTGTAGAACTGCTGCAGTCAAGCCGAAAACCTTGGTGCGTCCCTCAGATCATAGATATGATCTGAGGTACGTCCACACCTGCTCACTCTGCTCTTGAGTAATATAGAGAAGTCTACTTATTCAAATCAACCTAGACATCCAATTTTGAACATACGTAAATACACCGCTAGTATTGTTCCAAGTTGAAAGATAGCTAAAAAAGATTGCATTCGATAATTTTATTATACTTACCTACATTTTTTCCCACGGAGCAGACCCAAAACTTTCTGCTTTCGTGCAGAGAAGTTAATTTTATGAAAAGTCTGATGCGTAATAATGCGTTAAGGTAGGAAACCAAAAACCTTCAGAAGCTCTAGGTATACATCTTGGACAGCTGGTATGTCACACAAAAATGATAATTGTCACAGTTGTCACACTATGAACTGCATGAAGAAGCCGTGAAAGTAGCTCTGCGCGGCTTTCATTTCACGGCCTGGATAGACGCGCACGCGCAGCCGCTCTCGGCCCTATTGCAGTTTGTATGTACCTATACCTACCACAGATCGATCTAACATTGACCGTAGATAATCTGGAGATTATTCTTAAGCCTAGGCGCAGACCACCGATTTTTAGTTGGCCGATAGTTGGATCGGGCTGTTAAGGCTGTTACTCAGTATGGACATGTATCATTATAAATGAAAGAGCGCACATTACACCGATTTGGTATCGGCCGATTCTTCGTACAAAATAGAATCGAGCTCAACTATTGGCCAACTAAAAGACGATGGTCTGCGCCTAGGCTAAGATCGACCACTGAACTTCGAACTCCTCTTATGTTCTTCTGATTAATTTCGTTGCGGGTCTAATCACAGTTTAAATTTCCCCCAAGACAAACTTGACCTTCACTGGTTGGGTTTTTGGCGGTCAAGCTGTAGATCCTGGCTACACAGCAGTTGCAGCGGTGGGAACGAGAGGTGGGAATAGTCCCGTAAGATCGTCAACCAAAGAACTTCCCGATGCTGTATTAGGTTGTCGGATGAGCCATATAGTGGTACATAGCTCTAGAAGGCCAGGCCCTCTTGCCTGTGAGGGCCTCAGAACCTGTCAACTTTCTGACTGATGACCTCGATGTAAAATAGTAAGTAAGTTCTATCTAGGAAAACATGAAACGATGGAGGGTTTTCCTAGCTCTTGACCCTTTTATGTAAGTGTCTCTTAACCAACCTACTTTCTAACGGAGGACTTGTATGAATACTTATATTAACTTACTGGGAAAATTATAAGAAACAATAAGGAGAGGCATCATAGTCCTTCCAGTCCAGTAGCACAGCCAGTCATATTAACCCGTTAAGGAGTAACGTCCTGCTACTTACATAGAGCTTGGCTCTAAGGCTTGGCTCTAAGTCTACCTTACATAAAAATACCGTCAGTAAGATACTCGTATTATGAATAAACAATGGATTTATTTTTTCTGAAAGTAATTTCTTGTGGTCTTATCCCTAGGAAGCGATCTCTTACTGACACCCCCGCTCTGCTGATAATACATAATCTAGGTAAGTAATTTAAATTTAATCTCTATTACACTGATAAAGGGCAGGAGGGCTTCTAGTGTTATATCGTGTTAATAAAATAGCTTATTTCATACAATAATATCAATGAATTCGAGATGACTCGAGATAGTATCAGAACCACCCAGAATCTTCCTGTAACAAGACAGCATAATCATAATGTAGTTTTAATGCCCTCTATCCATAGCCTTTAGAACTGAGTGTAAACACCACGAAACCACCCTGCTTTTTCTGCAGAATTCAGTGCTGCCATATTATGGAACATTTGTATGACATAAAATATTGAAATCTTAGATACTTTGAATGGTAAACTTGTATTCTACATTCTAAATAAGGGTGTATTATCAGATGAAATTACTTATCCTGATAGCTACTCTACAAAAATTCATTTTATGCCTGTTTTTAATCTGTGACTGAAAATGAATTTACGTCACAGGGTGTTTTTTTAACCTTGCAACACAAAGCCAGGTCAAGGAAGTGCAGGAAAACTGCTCACTGTTAATATTTTTTGTTATTTTTATCAAATGCAATTATGTAAATCATGTAATATTGTTTTATCAAGATGATAGTGAGATAACTATTCCCCCGTAATGGACAATTTAAGTGTGCGAGTGATCGGCAGGACAAAAAACTAGGTGGTGCGTGACAGAATACCGCATAGGATAGAAACTGGAAATTAATTAAATTTAATCTCATTCTGCCGTTTATTTTCTAGTTGTGACCTTCCATGTCGTAATAGAAGTAATTAGGAACGATACTCTAGTTATTTTCATTAAAAATAATCGTCATAACATTTGACCCAGTTACGTACGGTGGCGTGTGCGTTGACCTATGGACGTGAATGCGGACAAGAAGCACGATGTTATTTTTAGGATATGTACAGCTTTGCAGATAATTAAATATTTATAAATGCCGTTCGCGGTGCCGGATTGAGAAATTAACTGCAAAGTTTGCTGCTGCGATTGTCACTTGGAATGGTAAGTTCTTTGTTTGAATTTCGAATTTATTGTTCCAACTTCGCGATATTTACTGTCATTTCTGGCCAGTACATAATCTTGGCAATTGTTTTTATTTTTCAAATGAGGTCTCTTCACTCAACAATGGAAATTTTTTGCTCTTTGCAGGTGATATTCTGCTGCCAAACCAGTTGTGTAAAATACATTGCATGGGTGCAACAGTGATACAGTAATCTGATGGAGATATGCCAAAACAAAATAAATAGCCAAATTTTCTAAATTATGACTTCCTTCATGGGGATCAATTTATGGATAGATATTCATTCATAAAAACAGTTTTTATGAGTTTTTCCCGTAATATAAACAAACTGCCAGTTGTGATTTTACAATGGAGATCAGATTACCTGACTAAAGAAAATCTAAATTATAAGAAAATAGCTGGAAATCATATCATCTATTAGTAGCTAGCCTGATTGAGAGGCTGTATGTTGAACGTAGCCCCGAAACGGAAAAATGAGTTCCGAATTTGAATGTTGGTGAACCTTGTTGTACGGAAGCTGCAATGGTGACTTAGCATTGAATATAAGTATTAAACATAAGACAATATGGTGTTTATTGACTGATTGGGACAACAATAGAGTGGGATTTACCTGGGCCTTACGCCCTAAGGCCGGGGTAGCCCTCGGCAGTGATGAAGAAGCAAAATGTCCGCACTCTATCGTTAATTGTGTGCACATTTACCTATTTGCTAGTGGGTGCAGCAGTTTTTGATGCCTTGGAGTCTACCACTGAACGACACAGATTTGAGGTGCTGCAAGGTAAGATAATTACATTGCCCTACATTTAATTAAAATAAATAAATTATACGCCTATGTTTTGCAATTTAATGAGCAATAAAGCCTTAATAATCATTTTTAATCTAGACCTGTACTATTGTATTCTACTTATTGAATTGTTTGTAAGAACTACAATAATATTGGCACCAATTTATTACATTTTGGTTCTTGTTTATAAACAAAAGCCTATCAGAATTCAATTATTTACAATTCTTAACTAACCTTGTTACTAAAAAATAATTGATTTGTCAACTTTGATAATAATTCTGATTGATTTAGATTTTTTACATTATAATTATTTACATTTTCTAACCAAACTTATTCCATTACGTTACAGCAATCGAAGGCATTATAATAAGAAAATACAACATCACGGAAGAGGACTTCCGTGTGATGGAAACAGTGGTCCTGAAGTCCGAGCCACACAAAGCCGGTCAACAATGGAAGTTCACCGGGGCCTTCTACTATGCCACTACCGTGCTTACAACGATTGGTTTGTTTTTTTATACTCTACATATTACATTATTCAAAGTTATTGGTCTTGTAAACTAAAAAAAAATATGGCAAAGTGATTGTTATTATTACTGAAAAAGTTGTATTCTGCTTTTATTAAAGTCAAATTAAGTGAGAATCCCTTGACTTGTCAAACATTTTGTTTTGAACTGAGAATGCCATGCCAAAGCTTCAAAGTGCATACAAGTGGATTCAATACAGTAAACTAGTTTTCCTCCTACTGGTAGTTCATTGCTGGCACTATTGACCTAGTGTCGCCCATATTACAACTCCATAGCAAGCCTCCATGCCACAATAGATCAAACCTGGTCGAGTTGGCGCAAGTAAAGGCCCAAAAACCAAGCCTCCATGTAAACATAAAGAACGTAGCATTTTTATCAAGCTGGAAAGGGATTGTAACCGTATCAACTCGAGGTGGTCAGTATTCTTTGTATGAAACTCCATACTGCAACGCACACTTATCCGCACCGTAACGTAAACGCTTCGCCTCGCGGTTGACAGCGCGCGTAAGGCGATGACAGCTCGCAAAAGGCGATACGATGTTGATTCCTTTCCGAGTTGATATGGCTGCTATGACCTTTACTTTAGGTTGTCTGGGAGACGTCGACGATTTCTTTCTTATCTTGTGTAGTGTTCGTTTACGTAGCGGGAAAATCCTTTTGCATGAAAAATCTAAACCGCTTAAGTTAGACGCTTGAAATTTGGCATGCAGGTACCTTAGTAAACTTAAAGCTTAGTTACAACAGGATATTGCAAAAGTCCCACGGGAACGGGAGTTAGCGGGAAAATACATTTGTATGAAAAAATCTGAACCGCATAAGATAGATGAAGGGGGTAACGGGATCCACGCGTACGAAGTCACGGGCGGCCGCTAGTTAAATATGTTCTTTTTAATTATCTATCGATGTTTCTCCAGGCTACGGTCACTCGACGCCAGCCACGATCGGCGGCAAGCTGTTCACGATGTTTTACGCCATCGTCGGCATCCCGCTCGGCCTTATCATGTTCCAGAGCATCGGTGAACGGGTTAACAGGCTTAGCAGGTAATTTAGATCATTCTACAGCGTTTTCGTTCGTTTCAGCCGAAAGACGTCCACTGCCGGACAAAGGCCTCCCCCAAGGATTTCCACAAAGATCGGCCCTGCGCCGCTCGCATCCAGGCACCTCCCGCAACCTTCACCAGATCGTCGGTCCACCTAGTGGCAGGCCTGCCCACACCCTGCACAGTGTTTTACTTATTCTGAATTTAGATCTTTCTTCAGTGTTATGCCTATTCTAAGATTGGTAATAAATATTTAATTTTTGTTGCAAAACTCTTGCTACTACTACTTAAAGATGGCATATTGATAACTTGACTGTGCCATCGTCATATTTTATGTATTTTACCGCCTTACACCTTTGAATCTAAGTTAAACTTTATGAAGTTACTAATAAAGAATATTTGGTATAAATAAAATACTAACACTCTAGTCTAGTAAATTGAAATATTAAAAACCTAACAAAATAAATTACCATGATATTATAAGCATGAATAGATAGATAACCTTTATTGGCCGTATTTGTCTTGAGAGAAAGAAAAAAAATCATCTATGTAAATGATACTAAGTAAGCCCTAATAGAGTATCCAATTTGTTGTAGCAGTCTGTAGCTAAACTATTTGGTGTGCCATTTTTGGGACTCTTTAGCATTATCTAAAATCTTCTCAGCACTGGCCCACTTTTATTGTTATGTAACAGTGGTAAGATTAAGTTATATTGGAACTTGTAAAAACGCTTTATACAAGTCTACATATTTGCAAAAAATAAATAATTTTTTTTTCATCATCATCATCATTTCAACCATAGGACGTCCACTGCTGAACATAAGCCTCCCCCAATGACTTCCACATCTCACGGTTCGTAGCGGCCTGCATCCAGCGCTTTCCTACCTTTACGTCCACCCGCAAGGTGGACCGACGACCTGAACAATTTTTATTAAAAACAAATTTTTGTCCACAGCGTAATAATAAAGTCAATAAAGAAAGCCATGGAGTGCGAGCAAATCAACGCCACCGAGGTGGACCTGATTTGCGTGGTGACGACGCTGTCTTCGCTGACCATCGCGGGCGGCGCCGCGGCCTTCTCCAAGTTCGAGGGATGGAGCTACTTTGACAGTGTTTACTACTGCTTCATCACATTGACCACTATAGGTGAGTCTTTTTTCTCAGCCCTAGGACTATGAGTAAATCTGTTCTGAGATGTTATACGGAGAGGATTCAAATTGGAAGCATCAACTCATCTGCTGCCCAGAGCTACTGTCGTGAACTTCATTGGAGTATCCAGTCACTTATGCAGTTCTTATGATCTTTGGCGCTGGAGTTTTGGAGTTCTTAGGATGTTTGAATCACATTCTGCCCCACAATCGCAGACCATTATGTCCAAATGGCACTAGGATGACCTTGTTATATGTAAGTAGTCCAAATAGTCTTGAGTTGATTCCCTAGAATCCGGCTTGTGAGATATGATCAGCCACCAAAGGAAGCTAAGATGGAATCGCTTCCTTCCGAGCAGTTGGATTGGTTTTCTATTTACGAGTATACTTAGTCAGGGCGAAAAACTCCGATACCGCGGTGCAGGTTTGTAGGCACAGAGGTGTGCTCCATAATATACATGTATCAAAGTAAAAACCTTTCTGGACTTAGGGATTGTAGGGGACATGAGAGACACTCTTAGTATCATTTTGTGCATTTTATTCCTAGCTTTCCACCCGCGGCTTCGCCCGCGTGGAATTTTGTCTGTCACAGAAAAACAATATCGCGCGCGTATTTGCTCACCGTTTAGACCTACCCTAGACTACGAAAAACATTTTAAAACCAAAATCAGCTCAATCGGCCCAGCCGTTCTATCAGACTAACGAACATCAATTCATTTTTTTATTTATACANTCAAAGCACATATTAAAAGTACCTTAATGAAAAAGGGCTACTATAAAGTCGATGATTATTTAAAAGATAAAAATGTTTGGGATACGTTACTGCCTAGCTCGCATAAATATTTATAACTTTGTACATTTTAAAGCATGTAAACCTTTGAAAAAGAGGCTGACAATAGTGACTGAGTTTCTTGCGCTGCTTCTTCTCAGCACTGGCCCATTTATTGTCCTGAAGCAGTGGTAGGGTTAATACTGGGACGTGTAAAAGTGCTTTTTTTAAGCCTATTTACAGAAATAAATGAGTTTTAATGAGTTTTTTTAATGAGTTTTAGTAATCCTGATCCTGACACATAAATATACTCTACATGTTATAATAACTTGAATAATTATTTGCTGGGTCCTCTAATCCGGCAATGTTCAACTCAATTGTTGTTTTCCATAAATATTCCCTTTATCTCCTACGATGCCTTTTCTACATACATTCCATAATTTCCTTCTTCCCGGTGTCCAAAAGTAGGTAGAGGTTAACGGGAAGATTTTCAGTAGCTTTGTCCCCCACATCAGATCCAACTTTTTACGGTTTTATCGGTTCTCATTGCGATATGCCTTTGGAGCACCTCAAAAGAATGCAACGCGTTGTACAAACCCATTAAGTACACAATGGGCGGTGCGTTAAAGATATAAGACTTGGGTTACACGTAGAGTGTCCACAGCACATCAATTTTACCACAAAATAAACTCAAATTTATTTTGAACCATTATTAAATTTATTTTATTTTAAAGACACAGTTTCAGACTTCATCGACTCTAGGCGCTTGATCTGTTTTCGACTGTACTGCATTAAGTGGGACCCCATTTACTTCACTATAGCGGAGTATCAGCCATCGAACCATTTCGTATAATTAGCATTGTCTATGATCAAACTGCCCAGAAACATTGTACAGTACCGCAATCGGTTTTCTAATTGCATTCCAGGTGTGATTTTTGGCGTGAAGTCCAACGCGTAGACATTTTAATGCCGGCTTAATCTCGCGTTGTCGTAGATAAATTAAGATTAATTACTAACTATTAATCAGTAGACGGTACCTAACCATCGTTTTAGTAAATCTATACTACTAACATTAAAAAGCTGAAGAGTTTGTTTGGTTGAACGCACTCAACAACTCAATAAGCACTCCTGAAATTTCTGAAGATTCTGAACTCGCTAATCTCAGGAACTTCTGATGCGATTTAAATAACTCTTTTTGTGTTGGATAACCCATTTATCGAGGAAGCTATTGGCTTAAGGTATCAATAAGCTACGGTCAATAGAAGCAGACTTTAATGAAAAATGTTGCAAACCGAGAAAAATAATTCTAACTATTTTCACGCGTACGAAGACACGGGCAAAAGCTAGTCGTTTATGCACAGCGATATCGGGACATAAACCTGTCGATTGGATGGGGTATTCTAATAGAAAATGTAGTGGAATGAAGTTAGTGATGGCTGGCCATAAGGATTAGATCGCGAGATAGGACGCGCTAACTGGGACGGTTTATGGGCTGCAGGAAGGTCGAGGGCAGCTGAGCGATAACACGCATAGGTCTGGTTTATTGCCGAAGTGAATGCGCTAATTTAACTTAACTAAACTAAATTACTTAGCAGTAATGATAAGTTCGGTTTAAATCGAGGCTTTTGTCTTATGGTAGAAAGACTGAACATTTCTGAAATCTGAAACCGGGATGCCTGTCCCAGGCTGCCGCCAAGGCGGGCAATTTTTCACAAAGTACAAGCTATTCTTACTCAAGACCGAACGCGATTGAGGACTGTTGTGGACGCCCTCTGCCCCATCTAGGGGACATAAGACCTTAAGTCAAGTAACTCACAAGTTGTTGAAGGTATTGATAGTTAATTGCCCAGTTGATGTTTTGAACACATCTACTCGCAGATCAAAATCACGAGGGCGGCGACTTTTTTTAGGCATCTCAATAGCTGGGAAGGGGGCGCTACAATACGATTTTTTAGAAAAAACCGTAGATCCGTGCTGATCTAAATCCAAATCACAAATGGCGTAAATTGAAATCGCGTGCGTATATCCCGTTCTAATCGTCGGAACGTAGCATTCCGCTTAATTAATTTCCATTCGCCATCTCGATGGACGTGTTCAAACATGGCCCTGACTGATTTCTCAATAACCCCTTAAAGGAAAACTCGTAAAAAGTAAAAATTCTACATGCTAACCGTCCAGGGGGTCTCCGGATTAAAGTTTTTTGAATTCGTTTACGGTAAAGAAAATACATTTATTTACTTACTGATGCGCAGGTGTTCTAGATCCAATACTGATGTTGTACAGGCAGTACATTAAGCTAAACACTGTGGCATTTTATGTTGTAGTCATAGGGACTGTTTTGGGACAAAAATGTAGAATCTGACGTGCTGTTGTTTGTACAACCATTGGTACAACATTGAAAGTTTATTGCTTTGAATCTTCACATGAAGGACAGGTTCTTCTGTGCTGAGGCAAATGGTTTTTATTAAACGTTGCATTGTAAGATGGAATTATTTACACTCATATTGAATTAGCTACATAATATCTAGGTAAACAAACAACCGAAATGAGAAACTCTTCCTTTTGTTGAAGTCAATTAAAAATAGTATAATTCTGAAAAGCCTATTTTCTCTGGATTTTAGAGCCTGCCTGCTTTATTAAAACCTGTAAATAGGGCAGTCACACAACCTCCTTACCTCCTTGAAGCATAGTGATTTGAGCGAACGCCTCCAGCTGCGTTTTCTCGACTGGCGATAATTCGCGGTGGCGTGATGCTGATTTGTGGCCTGTTTATAGATAACGACGTGTCATGCCGGATAAACATATTAGCGGACCGGGTGAGTAATGCGGGCCCGTAATGACAAAAACATTGTTTTTATTGATTGCGTGCACGATGCCCGGTTGGGGCACGGTAATTGACTTGCGGGAACGATTAGCGCCTGCACTGATTTTAGGTTCTTGCGAGTTGTTACGGGCTCGTTATAGAACTAACATTGTAGCTAAATGTCATGGCTACGCTCTTATTAGTTCGTATGTTAATAATCGGGAATTTCGAGAAAATGTTACTTACGTCTGTCTCTTTTAACAGCGCAAGTTTTAATATGGTTGTAACTAAATCAGCCTTCGGGATTTAACATCAATAGAGCAGCTACAAATCACTATGTCGACGCCAATTAGACCCACTCATCTATATCTTTAATCAAAAGGCGATAACGCCATTAGGTTTTTTAAAATTATTTATTGCTTGCCTATTTTATGACTTATTTTCACAATAAAGATTTTTAACTTTACTTTTTGTTCGTTCATAAACATCGTTAAAATTGTCTTTGGGTGCTTCACGGGTTGGGTTTCATTAGATGGCTAGCTGTAGATCCAGGCTTTACCGTAGTTGTAGCAGTGAGGTCATCAGGCAGAGTTAGACCCGATGCTGTAACAGTAGTCGTCACCACACATACGATAGGCCGAAATGTCATATTAGACTCGCACCAGCTTCCTAGAAAATGGCACTTTTTGATCGCTCCGAAAATTGAATCCGTTCGTCGAAAAAATTACAAAGCAATGGAATTTCGAAATAAAACAACGGTCTCGCTATCGACGTTAATAAACGTCACCGAATCCATTATAAGTCGATATAAATCAAATAAACCGTGAAAGAGTTATATTTTTACGACGGCAGCACTAGTAGCGATTATTAAACGATATCCCGGGGCACTTGCAAATTGAACGTTCGTCCTATCAATTTCTTTAACAAGGTAAACTTTAACCGGAAAATAAATGGTTTACCACGACTAGAGTTTACACTGTTTTCTTGTGCTAATGTCCACATCCATCATTCGTAGAACGCAATTATTAGAGCCGAGTCTTTCATAATCCTAGGGCTACGGCTTTGATGTTTGATGCAATACTCGAGGGAACTGATCCTAGGAAGAGTTTCAATCAACAGATTTTATAAATTTTATGATTATTCGGTTCTTTCAAATGAAAATTTTCCAATATTTTCTGATTAACTAAGTATCTCATGCCGAAATCAAACTCTGTGATGGTTTATTGAAGAGTAGCTTTATTGACGTATTTACTCGTTATTAGTTATAAAGGCACAAGTATCACAAATCCATGATGTCCAAAATAGAGCCCATGTCTGCCTAGAGCAGCGGTTCCCAAACTTATTTAGTCTACTGCCCACTTTGAGAATAAAATATTTTTTAGCGCCTCCCATTTTGTCGGCCGTTTGGTGTAGTGGTTCAGAACGGACTACTATGCCGAGAGGTTCCGGTTTCGATTC